CCCACCCACACCCCCCCCACCCACACCCACACCCACACCCACACCCCTTTTTTTGCTTTTCTTTTCTTTATTTGTTTATATTACTATTTCTGTTCTGTCGTTCTAGCGAAAATTCTTCGCGACCAAACTATATTGTTTAACTGAGCACTACTGTTTAATTCATTGGGTAAATAAATAGAAAGCATTGAAAATCGTGATTAAAAAAACTGATTGGTATAGTAAGTTCCTTAATCGTTCGTTTTGACCTAAGAGTTCAATGAAAAACAAACTACAATCTTCTAAATTCATTGGAAAAAAAGAAACAAATATCAAATGAATCACATCATAATCTAATAAGAAATAAACTGAAAAAACCTGTAAAGTTAACTGCTTGTTTTATTTTAAAACATGTAAAATAGCTAAACTAATATCGGTTTGTTAATCATAAATAAAAAATTCTCTAACGTTAAGTTCATTTCAATTGGCATAAGGTGTAAGAAAAAAATCGAAGACACATTAATTTTAGCTTCATTAAAAAAAATCACTATTTCCACTACATGAGAGTTTTTGTTTTTTGTACAGAGCAATAAAAGAGTCATGCTAAATTTATGTAGTCTGATCTAATTGGAAATACATTAAACAAACGTTTAAAAATGAAAAAATTCTTTAACAATACATAAAACACAATGAAAATATTTTACTAAAATGAAAACACAATAATTGCAGAAATTGTATTTTAATTCAAATATAAATATCGATTCATAAGATTTTTGAAATTTTTGTTGTAAATGCAAAGCTCATACATAAAATATATTCTTTAAGTATGGTTTCTAAATAAGAAATAACACATTGTATAGTATTTATTTTTGTGTTGTCTGAAATAAAAGAAAGCAATAAGAAATCATTTTCATTAAATTCCTTTTTTCTTCTGAATTCAATAAAATAAAGCAAAGAAATATCATACAATTCAGGTAAAGATAAATTTAGAAAATTTTCAAGTAACATGCATTAAAAAATAACTGGTGAGTATTTACAATCCGATTAAAATCAGACCTTTTAGATCTTTCAAAGACCGGAGTCGACCCTATATATATGAGTGCCCCACGTGCTAGAGCTCATTCGACTGAGAGAAGAAGTACAGGTAACATGCATTACAAAATAATTGGTGAGTATTTACAATCTGATTAAAATCAGACTTTTTCGATCTTTCAAAGACCTGAGTCGACCCTATATATATATGAGTGCCCCACGTACTAGAGCTCATTCGACTGAGAGAATAAGTACGAGTAAGATGGATTAAAAAATAACTGGTGAGTATTTACAATCTGATTAAAATCAGACTTTTTCGATCTTTCAAAGACCTGAGTCGACCCTATATATATATATATGAGTGCTCCACGTGCTAAAGCTCATTCGGCTGAGAGAAGAAGTACAAGTAACAAGCATAAAAGAATAATTGGTGAGTATTTACAATCTGATTAAAATCAGACTTTTTCGATCTTTCAAAGACCGGGGTCGACCCTATATATATATATGAGTGCCCCACGTACTAGAGCTCATTCGACTGAGAGAAGAAGTACGAGTAAGATGGATTAAAAAATAACTGGTGAGTATTTACAATCTGATTAAAATCAGACTTTTTCGATCTTTCAAAGACCTGAGTCGACCCTATATATATATGAGTGCCCCACGTGCTAGAGCTCATTCGACTGAGAGAAGAAGTACAAGTAACAAGCATAAAAAAATAATTGGTGAGTATTTGCAATCTGATTAAAATCAGACTTTTTCGATCTTTCAAAGACCTGAGTCGACCCTATATATATATATGAGTGCCCCACGTGCTAGAGCTCATTCGACTGAGAGAAGAAGTACGAGTAAGATGGATTAAAGAATAATTGGTGAGTATTTACAATCTGATTAAAATCAGACTTTTTCGATCTTTCAAAGACCTGAGTCGACCCTATATATATATGAGTGCCCCACGTGCTAGAGCTCATTCGACTGAGAGAAGAAGTACGAGTAAGATGGATTAAAAAATAACTGGTGAGTATTTACAATCTGATTAAAATCAGACTTTTTCGATCTTTCAAAGACCGGGGTCGACCCTATATATATATGAGTGCTCCACGTACTAGGGCTCATTCTACTGAGAGAAGAAGTACAAGTAACATGCATTACAAAATCATTGGTGAGTATTTACAATCCGATTTAAATCAGACTATTTCGATCTTTCGAAGACCTGGTTCGGCCCTATATACCTTTTTTAAAGGTATTCTTAACACTGATAGATGTTTTAATTGAAAAAGATCTTGGGAGATCTTTTTGACAAGGTACCTTATTTTGAAGGTATTTTTGATACGTTAATTGGTGTTTTGATGGGAAAAGATCTTGGGAGATCTTTTATGCAATGTACCTAATTTTTGAGGTATTTCTGACAGACCAATGGTTCTTTTAGTAGACAATGTGCTTGGAGGATCTTTTTTGCAAGGTACCGTAATTTCAAGGTATTTTAAAGACTTTAATTAGTGTTCGAATGGAAAAAGATGTTAAAAGATCGTTTCCTCGATCAATGATTCAGACCGCAGATCCTTCAGAAAGCAGCCGGAAACTGTGTGATTTCTGGCCTTTTCCGACCCTTTCCGGTGTCACTCCCAGCCGGAAATGGCCGGAAAAATACTCGGATGTTGGAAGCAGTATTCCGGTCGGAAATTTCTCGTACCCGGAAACGCAGCGTTCCGTGAATTTTCCGCCAATGGAAACCTACATGGAAAATGTAAGAATTCGGAGGAACCCACCGGAAACCGGCAAGGAACAAAACGTCTCTCATCGAAAAACTCGGAGGACCCGCTCCACACGTTTTTTAAAAGATCTTTCAAAGATCTATGAAAGATCTTTGAAAGATCTTTCATAGATCTTTGAAAGATCTTTCATAGATCTTTCATAGATCTTTCAAAGATCTTTCAAAGATCTTTCAAAGATCTTTCATAGATCTTTCAAAGATCTTTCAAAGATCTTTCATAGATCTTTGAAAGATCTTTCATAGATCTTTCATAGATCTTTCAAAGATCTTTCAAAGATCTTTCATAGGTCTTTCATAGATCTTTCAAAGATCTTTCAAAGATCTTTCAAAGATCTTTCAAAGATCTTTCAAAGATCTTTCCAATACATTTGGAACTAGGACGGTGAACTTACGGCCGAGCACGGCCGGATACGGTGGTGTTACTGTCGTAAACGGTGTCGTATGCGGCCTTGCGTGTCGGCATCAGCGCTGTGTCCCGCTGTGATTACGACCGTACACGATCGCCGTATTACGCCGTATACGATCGCCGTATACGATCGCCGTATACGATCGCCGTATACGATCGCCGTATACGATCGCCGTATTACGCCGTATACAACACGGCGATTTACGGCCGTAATACGGCGCATAGAAATACGGCGTATATACGGCCGTGTACGGCCGTATTTTAGCCGTATACGGCGTCGTAAACGGCCGTATACGGCCGTATCTGGTCGTCGTAATGCTCGACCTGGGGTGGTGTTGCATACGTTTAAGTCACGGCCCTGTAGGACCGTATACGGTGGCAATACGGTCGTGTACGGCGTTGGATACGGCCGGGTTCGTCGGTGTCGGTGCTGTCGGAAACTGTGATTACGGTCGTAAACTGTTGGCGTGTTACGCCGTATACGGCACGGCGGAATACGGTCGTAATACGGTCCCGCGAAATACGGCAAAGATACGGCCGTATTGTGCCGTAAATCCGCTGTATACGGCCGTATACGTCACCGTAAACGGCCGTATACGGCTGGTTCTGTTCACCGTAATGCTCGTCCTGGGCATGATCATTTTCGGATATAAGTGTTACTAATTCTTCGATACAATCGAGGATACTAAAAACAAAAGAAATACGATGAAAAGAATGGTTTTTGTTTTCTTTTTCTACCGTGTCCATGTTTCAAATTTTGAATATCGATTTTCTTTTTGATGATAATCGAAACTAATTGTAATATCTATTAATAAAATTTTAATATCAATTTCAACGCATAAATTTTGTTTTTTAACATATTGTCGAAGATTATTTAAATATTCGAATTGATCATGATAATTTGTAGAATGTTTACCACGTGTAGAAACAATTTCATTTAATTTTTTTAAAATTTCTTTATCATTATCAAATTTTAGAATCTAAATTTAACAATAAATAAGTCTTTAAAGAATAAATCAATAGAAATTTACATCTTCTTTAGATGTTATTTCTTTGAATTTTTTTTCATCAGATTGTCGAATAGATTTACATTCTTTTTCTCGTCGTTTAGTAATAGTTGTATTTTGACTAGCAGGTTTTCAACTTTCAAAACAAAAATATATATATAAATTTCTTTTTTTTTTTAATTGATAATTCATACATACAGAAAAAAATTAATGTAAGATTGATTTAGTGGTAATTCATTATCAATTGAATCATCATTATTTTCGCTTGAAAAATCATCACTTGATGAAGTTTCATTGATTTCAACTACATCATCATCTGGTTTTTAGAATATAATTATGAATAAAATCGAATAGAAGAAAATTTTGAATAACTAACTTCACGATATGAATTTTTTTCATTTTGAAATGATTCTATTTGTATATATTGACGAAGTTTTTGACGAAGTATTTTTAAATTATTTGAATTCGTTTTATTAAATTTATTACACCAATCTTTATTATTCCAACACTATCAACAATAAAGAAGAATAAAATTTATTTATAATTAATATTAAATACTTCATTGACAAAATCTTCAAGTTGTACTAATATTTTAATATAAAATCGTGGTATAACTACAAAATAATATAATACATACAAAAAAATAATTAATTCGATTTTTTTTTTACTTTGTTCTTTTTCTATTACTCGACGAGCTTTATCATATACTTTGATTAGATTTTCAAAACCTATTTATACAATTATCATACGAACAGATATATAATTCAAAGAAACATACATTCGTAAACTTGTTTAATATCACGTATACGTATAACTTGTTTGATTTTTTTAATATTTTCTTCTATTTCTTCGTATCTACAAAATGAAATGAAATTATTTATGTCATTCTCGATATTTTTATGTATAATTACCGTTTATCTTTTTCACTTCGAACGATACGTTTAACATTTTCTGTATCATCATCATCATCATTGTTAATAATATATGATTTTACAAAACTGAAAACAATATCAATATACATAGTACAAAAATTTTACTTTCATGAGAAATAACATACGACTTGGTTGTTTGAATTTTTATTTGTGGTTCATCATCACTATTTTCTTCGCTTGACGAAGAATTTCCGTCTGCAAAAAAACGATTTTTATTCATAACTTTTTGAAATTTGGTACTACTGCACTTTATGTACATCCCCATTGTTAATGTGCACAGAACGGAAAAAAAATTCTATTGGTGAAATGATTAAGCGAATGTTTCTCAATAAAATAAATACAGTATAACCTCTCCATAGTGGACACCTAAGGGACTATTTAAAAGTGTCCATTATAAGGAGGTGTCCACTTTCTAGAGGTTTTCAATTTTTTTTCTTGACAGACATTTTTGCTTTTGTCGAAGGTCACCAAAATCCCTTTCTTCATATTATTTTAACAAAGAGACATTCTGAGAACACTTTAGATCATAATTTATTGAAACCTACATTTAACAAAAAATAATGACAACTACTTCTAACATAAATTATCGAAAATTTTAAGTTTCATCAGTTTTTTTTGAAAAAATCAGTTATAGAACTTTGCTTGGACGTTTTCGAATCGATATAAAGATCAGTCATTTTTGACTCAAGTTGACTTATAAGTACATGTAATTCAGGTTGTTCGATCGACGCGAATAAATGTAAACGTCGTAGCATATCAAGTGCTTCAGGAAGTTTTGGTGGTATCTCTTTGATTGACATTTCTTCTTCTACATCGTCCATGTTTTCAGTTGAATCAGTATTAATAATTTCATAAAAGAGATCGCTGTTGTCGTTCCATTCGTTGTAGGCAGGAATATTTGAATCGATATTAATTAATTCGATTGCCGACATCCGATTACCATCAATACGTAAGTGAGAGAGAAGATCGTCGAGGTGTTTGCTTGAATTTTGGTTTTCATCGTTATCTACTAACATAATATCGCTGTTATTTGAAGCTTGCTGATCAGATAAGACGAAACCAAAGCCAGCTGCGCGAAAAGCGTTACGAATGGTGTTACATGTGACGGTGTGCCACGCTTCATTAATCCATCGGATCGCATCAAGAGCTGTTACTGTAACTTGATCACTACTATGAGCTATGGTACATTGAGCGATGATGTGTTTCACGAGCATTCGACGATAATGACATTTAAATGAGTTTATAACACCTTGATCGAGAGGTTAAACTGTACTAGTCGTATTTGGTGGAAAGAAAATTAATGTAATGTTGGATAATTGTACGTCAATGGGATGACATGGTGCGTTATCCAAGAAGAGAAGAATTTGACGAGAATTTTTTTTCATTATTTGATTGATGTCAGTAAGCCATTCAGAAAATAATTTAGCATTCATCCAGGCTGTTCGGTTAGCTTTCCATGTTACTGGAAGATTGTTAATATTCAAATTTTTAAAGCAACGTGGTTGACGAATCTTTCCTAAAATATCATTCAAAATATTTATCAAAAGTATATGTGAAGACTTACCGATGACTAAAGGCTTCAATTTATCCGTTCCACTACAATTTGTACAAAGTAAAACAGTATATCGTTCTTTTGAACGCTTTCCACCTTTACATTCTTCCTTGTTGAGTACCAGTGATCGATCTGGAATTGCTTTAAATAAGAGTGCTGTTTCATCGGCGTTGTAAATATCATCATCACTATATCCATTAACAATTGTTGTAAGACGATGTTTCCATTCTTCTGTAGTTGTTACGCATACACTTCCACTTTCACCAGAAATTTGTCGATATCCGATCATATGTCGATTGCGGAATTTTTCCAGCCACCCTTTTGATGCTTTAAAATTACCTGGTAATAGACCCATTTCTTCGGCAATTTGTCGAGCTTTTTCTTGCAACAGTGGACCTGATATTGGAATGTGTTTTGCTCGTTGGGCCGTAAACCATTCGAAAACGACTTCATCGATGTGTCTGCCGGTGTCGTCCTTCAGTTTGCGCTTCACACCCTTGTTCGTATTTGTCAAATAATCATGTTCATATTCTTCACGACGATTTAAGATGTCGGCGACGCTACTTTTCGAGATGGAGTATTTTTCTGCTAATGTACGTATCGAAAAACCATTGCCACCATTATTATCTTTGATTAATAAGATCTTTTGTTCAAGCGATAATTCGTGTCGTTTCATGAGTTGATAAATGAATGAATGCTGATTTCATTCTTTTTCTCTCTAATTTATATTTGTGTTGTTTATCTCTCTTTTGTTCTGTTCTGACTAGTCTATTTCATTACTGCCTGATTTTTAAATACTATTGAGTATTGTTGTCCATTCATTCTCTTATCGTTGCGGCATATTCATCATGATAATTGAATCAGTGAATGCATACATGTGAGAACATGATTGAGTGAAAAATCATAGCAAACGTAATCGAGTGTCCACTTTATAGAGGTTATTTACTACAGAGAGACCGAAGAAAAGTGTCCACAGTCCAGAATGAGGAGGTATCCACTTTCAAGAGGTTCATTTCCAGCAAAAACAGCTTGGGCGGACTAGAGGGTGTCCATAATACAGAGGTGTCCACTTTAGAGAGGTGTCCACATAAGGAGGTTTTACTGTACATATAAATAGATGTCATACAAAAGCGATACGTGTTGTATTGAACAGAAAAAAAAATAGCGATGACTACTAATTAAGATATAAGAAGTAATTAAGAACAACGTATTTGAAGTATTCATTATGAATGATGAATGAACTAAAATCAAGAAAGCAAAGATAAAAGTCATTTTGATAATAAGATAAAAATTTTTCTTTTAATTAAACTTTTTTTAAAAAGTCTAGTAATTATATTTGGAAATGGAAGGGCTTATATATATTATCGAGGTGTCCTCATATTTTCATAAGAAAAAATATTTCGATATTTTTGCTATAATAAAAAGAATGACTGATCTCGTGAATGTCGATGATTTGGATTCTATCAATACCAGAAAAATTCATCAACTAACTGCTACACAAGATTTTGTAGGCTCAGTAATACATTCTGATGAGTGGAGGGCTTATTTCCAACTTAATAACCATGCTCTATACACCCATTTAACTGTGAATCATTCTGTACATTTTGTTGATCCTGCGACTGGCGTGCACACGCAAAATATTGAAAATACGTGGATGAGAGTTAAACGAAAACATAAAAAACAAGGAGGATTTTCAAGAATTTTATTGCCTACTTATTTAGAAGAATTTATGTGGCGGCAGGAGTTCGGCGATAAACCTCTTAAAAATCTTGTTTTACAAATACAATCTATTTATCCTGTTGTGTAATTTTTTTTTAACAAAATTCTTTTCGTTCTCACATGACATCTATTTATATGTATTTATTTTATCGAGAAACATTCGGTTAATCATTTCACCAATAGAATTTTTTTTCTGTTCTGTGCACATTAACAATGGGGGTGTACATAAAATGCAGTAGTACCCGTGATTTTTTTATTTTTTTGAAATAAATTTTCTTATTTTTTATTTTTTGATTGTTCATTAAGATAAAAAAAAAGGGCTTTTGTTTAGATGATAATTAATACTAGATAAATTATGTTTCGATTAGCTCAGTATGTCCTTAGAGGATCGCATCATGCGATTAAAAAATCATTTTTATATTCAAGTAAGATTGAAATTTTATGAGATTATTTGGTTTTATTCTTTTTTTTTCTAAAGATGTTCGAATGTATCTATCAGATGCTTATCAAGCATTTGATAAATGGGATGAATCATTATCAAGTGAAATTCTACAAAAAACAAATATTAGTACGTATGAATAGATTATTGATAAAATTGATTCTTTTCTTTTCTTTTCTTTTTTTTTTGTAAAGGTGAACTTTTGATTGATGTTGAAGATAAATTAATTAGAAAGAAATATGTTAGTTCACTTGACACTGAAATTGTAAGTATTCATATAAATGAATAGAGCTCGTCGGGTCTAAGATTTTCGAACTCAAATCATACTTCTAATTTTTTTTTAATCTGAATTTGATATGATCTTATAATAATCAAGTGATCATTGGGTCGCTCTCGGACTTGGACTCGATAGGATCCGATTCGAAAATTTGGAGTTCGATGAGCTCTGTATTTGAATATATTTGTTGTTTTTAGCTTGCAGCGAAACTGACTCATGTTGAAACGACTGAAGATCTTAAATTGGCAGAAACAATTTTAGAAAAGTAAGAAAAAAAAATATTTTTTTAATGTTTGTTTGAATTTTATTTTTTGATATGTTATTTAGATTTCGTCGTACACCAGAAGCTCTTAAATTTCAACCTTCATTAGCTTATTCACTTGTTCGTAATTATCTTGATCTTGGTCAAAAAGAACGTTTATTACCTATTTTACATGATAAAGTTAATAAAATTAAAGACGAAATTATTTATAAAGTTTTATAATTTCATTTGTTAGGTTAAATATGGAATTTTTCTTGATCGATTTTCAGCTAATCTTTTATTAAATGCATTTTTACTTGAAAAAAAATACAAAGGTAAATATAAATTGAGTTTTGTTTTTATTATATAGAAAATTGTAAAATAGAAGCTGCACAAGTTTGTACAGATCTAATGTTACAAGATGAAGGTGATGATCAATTAACACGTGCACTTGGTTTAAATGCATGTTATAATTATTATTTAATAGCAACTGATGACGATTTTAAAAGTACACAAATAGAAGAAGAAGATGAAGATATTGTATGTTAATTAATGAAATATTTTATGATTTTTTCGTTTATTTATTTTTTAGGTTAAAGTAAAAGTTAATTTTGTTCGTAATCATACAAATGATGATCATTTTGATTTAACTGATAAACGTAAATTACTTGGTAAAACAATAGCTTATTTAAGTCGAGATGCAAATAATACTAGTATTATTTCATTACAAGTAAAAGAAATTTTTTCAATTATTTAGAAATTCTTTTTTTTTGTTCTTAGATTTTGGGAAATATTCTTTATAAAAAATTTGGTCGTGTATGTGATTTATTTCAAATAATATTAAATAATGATCAATTACAAGTTGATGAAACAATTGTAAATGAAAATCTTTTTCTAAATTTTTGATTATTTGATTATTTGATTTTTTTTTTGTTTTTAGATAAAAATTTTGGAAAAAGAACTTGATGAATATGTTTATAATCCAATTGAAGCAAAAGAACTTTTACCTCAAAGTCCCTATCGATGTTTAGAATTAATTCCTGAAGCTGCACGTGATATTATTAAAGTATAGAATCAAAAAAATAATTATATATGATTGAAATAAATCAAATGATTTTTTTTGTAGGAAAAACTTTTACCTCAACTTCGTCAAAAAAATAAAATTATTTCATTAAATCTTAAAGAATTTGTTGAAAAAAATCTTATTGAAATAGCTACACTTGCTGATAAATATGATACAAAAAAACATGAACAACAAATATCAATATGGACACGTGAAAGACAAGAACAACTTGATGATCAAATTCGTCGTTTTATTATTGAACAAAAAAAACTTAATTTAATTGAACGTCTTCGTTTATTAGAAGAACGTGATGAATTATTAAATTTTTTTGAAAATGAATCAAAAATTATAATGCATTCACAAGATAAAGCATTTGCTGATGAAAGTTTTGAAAATATTCGTACACAAGGTGAACATGAATATTTTGAATTAGCACGTCAACATTATCATTGGGATCGAATGGAACCACGTCGTTCATTACATCTTGATAAAAAATTACGTGATGAAGAAATGAGTGATGTAAGAAATTGGTCACCATATAAATATCTTGCTGAAAATTGGAAATATGATCTTGCTGATTATGTTCCATTAAATGAAAAAATGAAACGTCGGAAAGAAGATTTACCTCCAAGTGGAAAACCTCCTTATTACAAACAACACTTTTTCTAATAGATCAGTTCACGTCTTTTTTTTCTTTTTCAGTTGTTGTTTGTTTTCTTTTTTTGATAGAGAAAATAAAAAGAAAAACATTATGATTCATTGACACATTGTTTCATCTCACTACTTAATTCAAACAGTAGTATTTAAAGAGAAGCTAAAATATGCTAGTCTTTAATTTATATCAAGGTAATCTACAAGACGTTTTTATTTATGAAACAAATCTTCCATGTTTCGGAAAAAAATTTGCTAGTACAAATACTTCGAAAGATAAAATCTTATGAGGATGTTGAATAGTCACCATTTTATCGATTGAATTTCACTTTGTATAAAACAATGATATTTTGAAACTTTCGCTTCTCTATAAAATTTTAAAAGATTTTAGAACATATGTATCACATCATATGAAATACGTTGATATTAGGAATACCAATTGTTAGTACAATTTAAATGTATGACACATTAACAATTTTATTTAATAGTTGTCTCTGATTTCATGAATAATTCAACTTCTCTCTGTTTTACTAGATTACAGAGAAAATTTCGAGTTTTCTCTATTCCAGTATGGTTTTTCTCTCGATTGACTAAACTCAATAATAGAGCCTGTCAGATTAGTCCTAGTTCAGGACTTATCTAACGGATTATAATTTAAAAGTGAGAATCAATTATGACTTGCTTATCATAAGACCGTCGAGGGATGAGTGTCGATGCAGAGAAGACTAACAGCACACATCCTCAGTTACCCAACTCCGACTCAGAAGAATTTCATTTTGCTAACTCCAATTTCGACTCTGACTCCAGAAAATATCGTTGTGCTGACTCCGACTCCGCCAGAGTTGGAATCGGGTTTCGGAGTACTCCGCAGGGCTCGAACCCACACCCACACCTCACAAAGACATGTGAGGTATTTTCTGCCAAAATGTTCACCTCTTCCAATTTAGGAAACAATTGGGAATCTTGCTTGTGACACATCGAATTCTGCTTTATATCTAAATGCGTCACTATCGAAGAATAATGAATCAAGCAATATCTTTTTCGTGCACTAGTATAAAATTTAACGGCTCTACTCTTTTTGAATCAATCGGGCTAATATTTTTCTCAGCGATAGGGTAGACTTTAAGACATTTTTTTCTATATGGACACAATTCGCAGACAGTGTAGTAGGAATGTGTCAGTTTGAAGTCGCTTTGCTTCGTTGGTCGCTCACCATTCATTTTCGAAGTGAACTTGGTTTGCTGGGGGTTTTATCGAAATTCGAAGTCGAATTAGGCATCTTATAAGAACCAGAGAGAATTATGGAAGAACTTTACAGAGAGATATGAGAACTGGGCAGAGCGTACAAGAGTGAGTAGAACTCATCAGTACAGAAAAAAGAGAAAGATCATAAATTATCGAACGTCACAAAAGAACGAAAGAAACGACAAATATAGTAGAACATACTAGAATGAGAGAGATAACAGGTAAGCTGAAATACATAACTATAAGACGAGAACAAACATAACTATCATGTACGTATGCTAGTGCAAAGCGGAACAAAAAAAAAGAATGCACAACTATCGTGCTACTTAACAATCTGAAGAAGACAGAAACTCGAATAAACCAAAGAAACTAGATGGATATTATGTGTGAATATTTTTTCGTGATTTGTTCCAGTCTATCTCTTCTTCAGATACATGTGCTTGTGTTATATAGAGGTTCGCGAAGATCTACTGAAAGGATTTGATAATGATAAGTAAGGATGATAAGTAAGGACGATAAGGAAGGGTGTAGATGTGGGTAGATGTTTTTCTTCATTTCATTCACAACCGAACACACATAGAACATCTCACTAGCATACCAAATCATTCTTGTTTAGATTGAAAATGACTTTGTTTCAAATTTCAGATTCCATCTCAACTTTCCTTCATCCCCCTTTTTTTTCTTTTTGAGACAATCACTGTTTTTGATTTATCTCTGCTCTTACAATCTCTGTGTGTTCCCTTTCTTCTTTTCTTTATCCTGATGAATATTTATATTAAAATAAAAAGCGCGAAACGTGCCGCCGAAATAAAGTTTCCATTAATATTTATTGATTTTTCATTAAACATGTCATCGATACTACAAATTATTTTGCTTTAATCGATGGTTCGAAAGTAACAATTGAGATTAGCATGTCTAGGTCTGCTCTTGAGTCTCAAATCAGCCAATCGATAAATAATCAACGTTTAAATGAAACAGAATGAACCACCGTTATCAGTAGTGATCCCCACGTCATTCACAACAGTAAGATTATTCGGCACGACGTTTGTACGTAATTCTTCGATCAAAGGCACTTGTGGGCCAGTAAAATATTTCCTTCCACTAATAACATACCATAAAACACTGATTCCAGTAAAGAAAACGAATAATACACTGGCATAATTCATACTCGAAGGTGTGACAGATATTACTGTTGGCATCATAAATAAGATGACAGCCAAGGAAAACCAGACGATCGTGATGATGTTGATGACATAGCCTAATTTAGCAAGGTGAAAAGGAGCGTTGGGGACTAAATGACGTCCACGAAGAATAAGTACGACAATGGGTGATGCATAAGAAGCAGAAAGACATATTGTAGCCATGCCAGTAAATGTATTGAATGCAGCTGATGAACCGAGATAAAGGAGGCCAAGTAGACCTTGAATTAGAATCGAAAATAATAAAGCATGAAGTGGAATATTGTATCGTTTATTAATTTTTGTCTATATTCTCGAACCTGGGACAGCACCATCTCGACTAAAAGCGTAAAGACATCGAGAAGTGGCTGTCAAGGAGCCTACTCCAGCAAAAAACAGAATACCGAGAATAAGAAACAAAAGGCCAAAAGGGTGTGGGTGTGGGTCTTCTACTCACCCACCCACACTAGGATTTTACTTTTTTTTTCATTTTAAGCCTTTAGCCCTATGGCTATGTCGGTTCTAAAGGAACAGTGGAGCTGAAGAGCGTGTGTATTGATAATGAACAATGAAAACAATTAAAGCAAAGCGTAAATAGAAAGTACATAAAACTGTAAGGACAGATAACACGAGTCATGAGCGACGATATGTATAGTAGAACCATTTTGTGTTTTTTGGTACGCAAGTAGAATGCGTAGACCATCGATAAACCAGTAACTTGAGACGTGTAGGGCAGAACAGAATTATGTAAACATGATGTTGTGGGAGGGAAGGCTCAAACCCGATACTAATTCTCGAGAAACAAACATATTACCATTGCACCATTCTTCCCACACTAGGATTTTACTAAATTCCTGCTGTCGGTTCTGTTGGATTCCAATTGTAGGGCTTTATCAGATGCCGACGCCAAGGATCCTAATGTCAGTTCGTGCTCGGGTTTCTGGCGATATTCTTACAGGATCCTGACTGTATCCTACAGATTTTTATCGAAATTTGATTGAACTTTATCTCATCGAATCGGATCCGAATATTGAATTGAATCCCCTAGGTAGGCGATAATGATTTTGACAGTGTTGGACTTGATATTTATGTTGATGATCAATTAAGACTTAATTCCATTAAAATAAAAAAGAGAAAACCTGACATATTGTAAAACACCCTGAAAATATATGAATTGATAATTTTTAAAAAACAATTGCAAACAGTGTAGTTAATTCTAATACTATCAACAATCAATTTGATGGCACTCTATGATGAAACCTTCTTGCGAAGCATGATAGATTGGTTTTTACATCTTATGAGATCAACTTCAATCAAGACAAAGACTTGGTAAGAATGTCTTATTGGCTAAGATAGTCCGGCTATTGTTTGCTAGTCGACAATCAGAATTCATATATCTGATTCAAAGACTAGCAATTAATAAATTATGAAAGAATCAACTTAAATACCGATCTTTATGCTTCATAAACACAAGAATCTTAACTTTAATTCTATGCTATAGAAACATTGATGAAAGGCCAATTCATCCAAAATTCAGAAAGATAATATCTTTGTATATCATGAATGACGCTTTTCTGTGTAAAATATTGTGTGTGCCGAAAAGAAACTTTATGTTTTAGTTTAATAGTTGATGAATATGATCTTTCTGTGTGTCTTAACATGTTTCTCATAACAAGCAACTTCAATCTGGTTTCATCGAACGAAAGAAGAGAACGAGAATCACAATAGTTTACAATATAAAGGAGAATATCTATAGAATTGATGCCACGTTATTAATATAATCTCATGTTTACCAGATTATGATAATGATACAATTAAAATTCTCTTCTAACCGAAAGAAATATTTTAGTAACAAAAAATAGAACATTCTTAGTTTCTCCCTTTGTAGATAGAGTATCAACTATAATCAAAAATAATCGTTTTCTTTTCAAATTCTAGAAAATCGCATTTGGTGATCGGTAGAAAATTAATGAGACATAATGATCGAGTGATTTCTTCGTGTTTTTTTTGCTGAAAAACGTTTTTGATGATTTAGTATTAATAATATCAACCACAAAACTGAATAACAAACAATAATAAGCGTTTTAATAACTCATGAAAATGAAAACAAACAAAAAAAAACAATCACAATAAATCTTGACTTCGTTTGATATTGATTATGAATTTCGAGTAATGACAAATTCAATTTCTCCATCTTTTATCTAATCAAAAAGAAAATAAGAAAAAGAATTAGTTTTATTTTAAAAAAATCAAAGAAAAACGTACAGAAACTTTTTAGTTGTATACCACGTTGCTGTGTTCTTTATTTATCAGATTACTTAATGGAATAAATGGTTTTTTAAGAATAGCTTCAGCTTCTTCTCGTTATTCAGATACAACACGAGCAATTTCACTTATTTGTAGTTTTATTGAATAATAAGTTGTTATATCATCAGTTGGAATTAATTTAGCCTTGAAAAATAGAAATCAAATAATTAAAATTAATAATTTATAGCAAAAAGAAAGAAACCACTTTTTGGAGTTTTTGAACTCGAATTGTAATTTCATGAATAAGACCTTCATCTTTCAATGATGCATCAGCTTTATAATCAAGTAAAAACGACAAACTATTAATAAATAAATAAAAAAAGAAGATAAAACTGAAAGAAAAAAGAACAATAGTACAGACATACTCCTTGTTCAGCAGTGGCTTCACATTGTGTTTGTTTAGTCACGCGATAGACTATATGAATATCTTCAGATTCAATTGATACATCATCAGTTGTTGTGAATAGACTTTAAACCTTCACCTTTTAATAATAAATCTTCAATATCTGTATTAGACATTTGACGAATTTGTTCATTTATTGATTTAGTTTTAGCTATATACATATTGATTATTAAATGCATATTTTTGAAAAAAAACAAAAATATTTATCATCATCTTTTATGACTAATATTGGATGATTTGGTTCAGCACGTATTTCAATACCAAAAAGTTCACGATCTTGAGATAATATTACGTTACGTACATTTAAACCCTTTATAAGAAAAATAAATATAAACACTAAAATAAAATACAAAATTTACTTCTCGAACAAAATCTTCTAATTATGCAATATCGTTCAACACGGACTCATCTTTATGAATAACAACAAGTTCTGGTAATGGATACTAAAAATAAATCAATTTTACACATGTGTATTAAATAAGTCAATTCAATTTACTTTCATTGGAACAACTTTTCGTTCTCGTACCGCTCGACCTAATCCAATAACTGTTTGTACAGCAGCTACAGCATGTTCAATATTTTTATTTACTAATAAATGACTTCAATCGAAAATTAAAAAGGTAAACAACAGACTGTGATCTTGGAATCATTTGAAAATGAATACTTAATTCTTGTTCAGAAGAAGATAATGATCGTGGCATTAATTTTCTTAAGATTTGATATATAAATTCAGCAAGAAATGGTGTAAATGGTACCATTAAATTAGCCATAGTTAAAAGTACATAACAAAGAACATTTAATGAAACAAAACAATCTTCTAAAGTTGTTTCTTCCTAAAAAGTTTAATTTGATCATTTTCATTCAAAATGATGAAAGTAGAATAAATAGTTTTTACTTTAAAACGTTTCTTGTTCAATTTAACATGTCAATTGATTAACGTATCAATATACTTAACAAGACGAGAAACCACTGTATATAAACGATAAGCTATAAAATAAAAGCAAATTTTTTTTAGAAATAATTATCTCGATCTTCTAATCGTTTGTAAGCTGTAACTACAGTTCTTTGTTTCGTATTTGTATATAGTTCATTTCTCTTGAGATTTACATGTCTTACCTTTCTGAAAATGCATACTGACTAATGAAAAATTTTTCTCTCCATGTAAATGAAATATTAGGCTTCCTAAATGAACTAAATTAATCTTACCATCCATTTCTTGTTTAGCAAAATTCAATAAGATTTGTGTATAAGAAACAATTCATGTATCCATAACATTTGTATTTGATGACATTGATGAATATAAACGTTTTTCATCATAAATAAAATTAACTTTTCTCTCAATTTTTAATTGATCACATGATTGAATAAGAAGACGTAATGCATTATACCAAAGTAAAAATACATCTTTAAGGAAGATCGCGAGTTGTTATTCGAACTGGCCAATTTAGATGAATTTAGAAAAGCTTGGCTGTTAAAAGAGTTTCCAATAAAAGGTCTGCGTAGGTCTAAAAGATATGTACAACATATATCTATTCTGGAGAAATGTGTACAATGGTGCTCTGCTAATCCTTCTTCCCATTCTCTTATTGATTACGATATATGTGATATTCCTACCCTCATGGAATTTCCTGATTCCTTCTGACCTTTTCTACTATGTTCGTTTTTCAGTTTTCGTTGTAGCTCTCCTTTCTCTTCTACGTTCCTGTTCATCTGGTGATCTTTCTTTCTTTCAATTCTTGCTCTCTTCTTCTTACTATTTGTACTGTTAGGGTCTTAGGATCATCAGTTAAAGCCAAATAAAAAAAATACATCTTTAAGGATATCTCGAACACCTTCTTCTTTAAATTTAAGTGGTTCACCACGTACAACAGGTGATGTTATTAAGTAAAGTCTACAAAAAAAAAATAAATAAAAGACAATATGAATTTTCTATAATTGCGATAAATTTTACCTAAGTGCATCAGTACTATATTTATCAAAAATTTTAGTTGGATCAGGATAATTTTTTTTTTCTTTTTGACATTTTTTCTTCATTACTTGCTAAAATAATTCCATTAACAATTAAATTTTTAAATGGTGATTGATCAAATAAAGCTGTTGAAATAACTAATAATCTATAAAACCATCCACGTGTTTGATCAATACCGTCAGCAATAAAATCAGCTGGAAATGTATCCATAAATGTACGACGTCCATCAACTGGATAATGAACTTGTGCATAAGGCATTGAACCAGATTCAAACCAACGATCAAATACTTCAGGTACTTGTCGTAATAAACCTTTACCTAATCGTGATGGAATTGTTATTTCATCAACACTAAAATTAAAACAACAAAATAATAATTATTTTAATATATAAAAACAAAACGAAAAAATAATTTTATTTTACACTTCACGATGAATATCATCAATAGAAACTTCAGATAATTGCTTTAATGCTTCAATTGAACCAACACAAACAATTTCATGTCCATCATCACTAACCTATAATGGAATTGGATTTCCTCAATAATGATTTCGTGAAATAGCCCAATCACGTACATCAAGAAAACCTTTAATTGATGAATGAATAATTAACGACAATTCGTCCATTAAATAAATAATTATATCTGTAATAAGATGATTTAAAATTAAATATTCTTTTCTTTCGTTTTCTTCTTCTTTTTATGTTGTATCATTCAAAAAAAAAAATAGAGATACAAATAATACATGTATATTAATGTCTTAATTGATCTGCAATTCGTATTCGTTCTCTTGGACCGGTTGACGATTTCGTCGATTTGCACGTTGTGTTTCGTTATGTACCACACATTTACGAATTTGATACAAACCACTTAAGGTAGCAAGGCAAACAGATAATATAATAATTAGTCTTATTTGTACAGAATGGCTTTTCTCACAAAAGACCCAAATAAACACGCCGATACAACCGAGAATGTCGATCACCATCAATATGTTCACGACAGTTGATGCTTTCATCGTTTTTTTTATAACCTTTGTTTTGAATATTTACTTTTACTACTAGTAATTAGTTTCTATCGGTTGAAAAACGTAAACCAATAAACAATTACGCGCTTTGTGAATAAGCAGATTTTGTCGCTATAATCTACTTCAGTCTGACATCTTGCATACATGATGAAAAAAAAAAATGATTATAGAAAAAATAAAAGCAGAAAATTCATTCTTCTATTTATCGAAATGGTTGAATATGAATATTTGAAATTTATTGATACGTATATCTACGAGAAAATTTTATATAAATCAAATCAACAAAATGAACTTTTTCATTTGATCGCAGAGAAGAGTTCATTGGATTTGAAATGATCAGTAATTAATTAGAGTTCTATATATTGATTGAAATTTGCTGGAATGATAATATTGAGAATGAGAAGATATATTGAAACAGTAATCACTGGTAATGGTATACCGGGACTTACCATTGTTTTCGTTAGCCGACGTAACAAAAATGTAAGTAAACGACCGATTTGGACACTAACTATGGATCCCAATGTCACATATATTTTTATTATTATCGACGAAGATGGTGGAAGAGCTAATAAGATCAAAATATTGTAGGTAAAAAAGTCTCCAAGACCCAGTGCTGGACTTGTTTTCCATTTATCAATGCCGTCAATATAATAGGTCCCTGATTGACACTTTTTTCTTGGAGTAATTTCTTGATCTGTCAAACTTGGATGATAAAAACGGCCTCGATGATGTAAACACATCAAACTAAATGATGAAACAAAGAAAAACAATTTAGTAAAATAATTTTTGATTATTCTATAATTGACATCTGAATTCTTTCATATCGTTCATATGATGAATCAAAAAAAATTTTTAGTAAAAGACAAAATTTGAGTTGCTTCTCAGGGAAGATAATTGATGATCATTTTCAAAATTTCTCCTAATCGATAAAAGAATATTTACAGAAATTTTAGAACTAGATTATCTCTAGAATATCCCATTGCTATATTTAGCCACATCAAACTCAGCATCAGTACTGAATAAAAACAAAAATTCCTCGCAAAAAATATCGATAGCAGATGAAAATGTTTTTTTAAATGTTCACCGCATAATTAACTTACATATCTATTACTGAGAAAAACCAAAACCATAATAACATAAATGTAAGAGGTATATAACGAATAAATACAAAATACCATATCCATGTTATCAATGCCATGACCACACACAACGATCCTTGTTCTATGATAAGAATAGGTGGTAAAAGATGTAATCCTATCCATGCTATTACGAGAGAAATTAACTGCCACACAAACAAATAAATAGTTAATACATCTATTTTCCACCAAAAATTGAGAAAAGTAAAATATTGTGCTAGAAATTCAACAATCAGTAAAGTAATTAATATTTTGTAAATATAAATAGTTATTTTTGGAAAAAAGAATATTATGATCTTTACTATTAAAAGGAACAAAATATATATCTTGTAATAAAATAGATCATATTGATTGAAAAAGTAAAGACATGTTATATTATCTAAAACAATGAGAATGTAGATGATAAAATGATAAAAAAATGATGCATACTTATTCCTTGATTATACAAACAACGAATTGTTAAACCCAAATCACGTAAAAAATCAATCAAAATAACTTGTAAATAAGTTTGTCTCACGGGTATATCAATCATAGTGCAATGAAGAACAAATGTAATAATTATACTTAAGCTAGTAACTATTGTTAAATGTACTTGATCATGCATTGCGATTAGTGATCAAATAGATGTATCTGTCAATATATCTATATTGAATGTAATGAACTTTCGAAGAAATAATTAAGAATGAATATTTCTATAAGAGAAATGTTGTCATTTTCTTTCTTATTCAACTTATATTAAAATCGACGAGAATAATCAATCCGTCTGCAAGGAGCATTCGCTCAATGACGAACGAAAAAAACAATAATGACACAATCGTTCATAAGCATTGTTTCAATTATTCACGGAGGTCAAATTGTTTCCTGTCTTTATTTTCTATTGATTGAACTGAGATAAGGCCACAAACAGACTAAAAAATCTCAGACGAATTAAAACTGAATTAACGAATAAGGCCCCAATCACACAGAAAAAGATAAAACAAATAAAGCGACGCGATTGGTCTATTCCGACTTAAATCGTCTTTTTGAGATGATTTATTCGTTAATTCTGTTTTAATTCACTTTGAATTAGTCGGTGTGATTGGGGCCTAACACGGAAAAACAACACACATTACATATATTTAAGTTTAACTAAAAGTTTTGATAACATCAAAATGGAAAAGATATTTTTATTTGTTGAGAGTAGCTCTCATGATTATTTATAGAAAGTTCAATTTTTTTTTATTTGTTCTTAAATATTTTTAACTGAACCTTGGAAAATATATAAATAAATCATGTTTCATTTGCTTAATCATTTAGACAATGCTTGATATCATTATACATACACAATTCATAAATGTTTTATTAAAACATTTGAAAAGTAAATAAGAAATCAACTTTCACGTTGAATCATTTAGCTCAGCTCGACTGAACAGGTTCAATTGGATAAAATTTCAAATGAAAATTAACACTTGTTGCTTATTTTCAAAAATTCGAATAAAATATTTTTGATTTATCAACGAAATAAGGTAAATAGATTGATCTTCTCTATATCGGTCTAGAAAAATATCTTTGCTATTGATTGTTTATATTGAAAATAGAGTTGATCGAAAAAATTGTTTTTTTTTAAATCCATTCATAAAACTAACTTGTTTGACTAATTTCGTAGCTAAACTAATTTCAAATGGTAAAAAGTAACAAATGAGAAATATGCAATTTGGTCATTTTCGAGATATCGAAAGCAAAAAACAAAAGTCGAAATTGATTAGATTTTCATATTGACAGTAGTTGATTTGTTTTGTCAATTAGATCAAAGATTTCTTATATTTGTCACTTATTCTACTACGTGTTGGATTTCCATCATCTTGCCATATAATATCAACATCAGTATATAATTGATCGATACGCAGTTTCTATTGTTGTTTTACAAATTTATTATATAAAAATCTATCATTGAAATTCTTTTCTTGTCAATCCTTTCATATTTCGATGTATTTTTCTTTTATTCTTTTTATGTAATTCTTTCCTGTTCTTATTTTAGGACATTGGAAAAAAAAATCTTCTCTATCATATGTATCTATATATCTGCCTTATAATTAGCACTAGAGATCTCAAAATTTAGAATAATATTCATCCGAATACAAACGATTAAAAGTCCAATTTTGAGCGTTTTTGGATTTGTATTAAGTAAGGGTGAAAAAGCAGTTTTTGGGTGTGGGGCGGGGTGTGGGTGTGGGTGTTCACTTAATGAATTACTATACATACACGCACCCACACCCATTTTATTAAAATAAATAAATGAAAAAGTATTGTTAAATATTACAAAAGAAATATGATTAAGACGAAATTCATGTTATTTTAGATGATGTGGATATTCTAATCACTCCGTACATCGGCAAGTTTTCCATTCAAAGAAGATGAAGAATGGTACACAAACTCCACTTGGAAAGCCACATTGTTGGCAATCCGTGATGCATGCAGACAATCCTAGAAGGTTACATTTGCCATTCGGTGGACTACACACGGAGAAAAATGGTAATGCATGAATAGCTAGAGAAATCAAATAGATAACAATGATTCAATAATATCGCAATATCTTTTAGTCTATTATATATACTACGTATTTGTAATGCTAAAGAGAATATAAGTAAGACAACAATTAACATACGACTCATGTCAAAGATTTTCGTTTTTGATATTTATTACTATGTTGAATACAAAATACATCCATATTTATACTCGTAAAGCTGAAAAGTGGACTTATGCATATGCATTATATGACGATTTCTAATAAACATGATATCACACATTTATCATGTATCTATTGGCATGCCTTATCATGATAAAATTAATACGAATTGCGATAGTGTAGAATGGATGAGTAATTCTGTGTGATAAATCATACCTTCCTCGTTTTACTCGCTCTTAATAAAAAAAAAAGAGCAATACATCTCGCTTAATAGTTATTTTTGATTTTATCCTTCGAGAACTCGATGAAATACTAAAAAGTACTACTAAAATGATCGATGATGTTGATAATCTTTTACATAGATTTGAATATAAAGATTTAGATGTGTTCCCTGATCGCTTCATAAAAAGCTTATTAATGTTTCATAGACAAGTATGGAAATGCAACAATGTGAAGCAACGTCAAAGTTCATTGTTATGAAATGACAAGTAATGAATATGGATGTAATCGATGAAAGACATGAAGATATTCAAGACTGATGGATGATCATTCTTTCATATGTATGTGAGGCTACAATGACACAATTCGTCATCATAATCGTGATGACTATTCGATTCGTCGCCTTGGACAGTGCTTCTCATCAATAATATTCAATACAGTAGACGTACCTCTGCTCAAAGACACTGAAGCGAGAAAATTTCAATCTAAAATATTAATAATATTATTAGTACTATATATATACCCACTTCATCAGCAGATTCCCAAATCTCCTATTGTTTATTAGGGTATGAAGCTTAAATAAATTACAGCATGAAATTCTTTATTGATTGATGTACTATACTTGATCTGGGAAATTGAGGAAGATTTAATCTAGACGATTCCATCGAACTCATGATAGTGAATAGATGGTTTGATTAAATCTTTTATTGTTGTACGAGTTTTTGGTATTTGATTGAGTTCTTGTTTGAAATTGCTTTTTTGACTTTTATGACTAGCAACGTTTTGGAATTCTAATGGATAAAATATTGAACGAAAGCTAGTTCGATCTTTATAGGTATTTTTTTATTTTATTTTTCATGGTGGCTTCACATCGATGCATAGATGCAGTTCGGTACATGTCTATGAAAGATCCGTAAACTTTCATGAAGCAACTAGCGAACACATATCAATCTTTATATTGAAATCTATGTGAAAGATTTCTAACATTGTCGATCATTTTAGCAGTACTGTTCAATATTTGTATTGAGTTTTCGTGAATCTATCTTCGAACACTATTTGTCTGCTTTTTATACATTTAAATGCAACCAAGATAATATAATTAAAAAAAGGCACAGATATGAACTAAGCAATTGCTCTTTTTCATTCTTACGTATTGTATTTTCTGTTTAGCAGAAATATTCATACATATTTTATCTTCATTTGAATCTTCGATATTCTTTCTTTCAGTTACCTATGTCGTTCTTTATTAGTATGACAAACACGCTGAGTCAAATCGAAAGAGAAAACCTTTCAGTAGGGATTTTTTGGCTTTCTACGGTAGATGCACTCATACATTTACAATAATGTCATGCTTAGACCTGGATAAAATCAAAAATAGCTATTAAGCAAGATGCATTGATCTATAATTATTAACAGAGAGAGCAAAACGAGTAAGGTATGACTCAACACACAAAATTACTCATCCATTCTATATACTCGAAATTCATACTAATTTTATCATAAGAAGGCATGACAATAGATACATGATAAATGTGTTATAATCATGGCTATTAGAAATCGATCGTGAACGTAAGAATCTCAATTATAGATTTTGTTATTCGTCATTTAATGCATATGTGCAAGTTCATTTTTCAGCTTTTGGAATATAGATATGAATATATTTTGTATTTAATATAGTAACAAATATTAAAAATAAAAATCTTCAACATGATTCATATGTTGATTGTTGTCTTATATTCTCTTTAGCATTACAAAAGCATAATATGCAAAAAATAAACTAAAAGATATTTCGATATTGTTGAATCTCATTTTCATCTATTTGATTTCTCTAGTTTATTCATGCATTTCCCTTTGTATGTAGTCCACCGAGTGGCAAATGCAACCTTCTAGGACTGTTTGCATGCATCGCGAATTATCAAACATGTGACTTAACATCATCTAAAATAACATGAATTTTGTCTTAATCATTTTTTTTTGTAATATTTAGCGATACTTTTTCATTTATTTATTTTACTAAGATATCTGACTCAGAAAACACTTGAAATTTATCAATGCAAAGATATTATAGAAATCTGCAAGCTAAATTGATTAATGTGAAATAATTATCATGAAGCGCTTCTGCAAAACAAAAAGGAACAACAAAGATAGATATAAGTCTCTCGAAGTTATTCGTTGTTCAAATTTTCTACTAGTATGATTTAATCAATATTGACAACTTGCAATCTCTATTAGCGTTAGACTAGTCAATCATACAATACTATGTACTACATTATTCGACTTAATTTAATTTAACTAGTACTATTAAGTGTCTCGTAAAAATTTCAATGATAATTGTTCCCGTGTTAACTAGTACTATGGAGCTCAAAGTTTTTTATCCATAGGCTGATCATTCATTGCCGTGCATGTTAGCATATTCCACTTTGCTTGTAGAAATATTCTGGAAGTCACTGAACAATACGTGGTCGATATATAATTAATTATCATTAAAGACAAAAACGAAGAAAGTTATGGTATTGTTACATGTTATCAACTTGTTGAACATGTGTTGTTCAATTCAGCACAGTCAACAACTATATAAGTGCTTTACTATGAGTCAATATTCTTGCAAAGCTTCACAATACCGATTGAAGTATTCAGCAATACTAAAAACGAACTTGGATACAAAATTCAGACGTGACTTGTTTTTTTTAAACATTTTCGATGCAATATTTATTAATCATACGAATGAAGTTGTCTAACGAGTTGTATTTCGTAGAGTTTTTTCGAATAGCTCGTTGACAACAATATAAAGAGCGCAAAATCGAAAAATTGCGATGCATTAGATAGAAAATAAGCAAAGTAAACTACGTTATTGTCATAACAAGAGTTCAGAACATCTGAAAAGTAAGACTTGTAGTAGACTACTCAGGATTATCGTTGATGACGTGATGTTGTGTTCTTTTTGATTATTGAATTATCGTTTGAAAATTTGAATGAATGAGTATGAGTGTAGAGAAGTCCCACACACACTCTCCTTAATGTTGCCACTACTGTTGTCTATCATCGCCAAACTTTTTCTGTTCTCTTTGGATAATTTCAAATCCAGATATTTCTTACTTGCCCATATATACCTTGTTAGTTTTATGTCGTACGGAGTGACAAATAAGCTTAATTTTGATAAGTTTAAAGTCAAACTTATGTCATGCAGAATTTTTTTAACAGACTCAACAGATGTTCATTCTCCAAATGAAGGAGATTATTCGGATGGTGTTTTTCCTAGCATTAAATTACTAGCATCTTTCTTGGGATAGTTTTCAACCTTTCGGATAATTTAAAGTAAGATTTAGAAAAAAATCAGAGTTGGGTGGTTTGAAAATCGTTCTTTTTTGTAGCGAAAATTTAAAGAAAATGATCAATTGATCACTGGAATATAGCTCGCGACATCTTTCCTACTTTCTTTTTCTTCGTTTCTATAAGTAAGTATATGCGTCATACAATATTTGATTTGATTTAATATTTCGCACAGCATAAACCACGCAAGTGCGCGTGCATACAAAGAAAAGCAAATACATTAAGGTTTTTCATTTGTTGTTCTTCAACGATAGTAACATGCGTTCTTTCTAATCAGAATAATAAATGTGAGTAAACAATTGGTTTTTTTTTGCACTTTCAAATCTTATTTCATAAACAATTAAAATGAATATATTGTTAGGAAATTCGAAATAATTTTTATCATAAAAAAACCACATTACATTCATTTGAAATGATCGTCTCAAAAATAAATCATGTTTTCCTACTACCGTGGTATAACATTTCTTGAAATAACCATAAGCTGTGAACATTCTAACTGCAGTCTTCCATGGCAAACGTTCATCGTTTAATTTGATAGTCAACTTTTGTCCAGAATGTAAAATTTTCAATAAAAATTATTTGTATAAATGAACGGCTTGAGTAATGATTATTTAGGCGGTTATTCCCTTACATTGAAAATGGATATTTTAATGCAAGATAGTTTTCTACATAGGGCATATGCGTATATTTTCTCAAGAAGTAATGCTCTTCTACAGTTTTAGCTTAAATTAATTTTTAAATGTTTCAAGTCTAATCAAATCGATAATCAAGATTTCTTTAGCTGATATCTAAATATTGACCTATCGAAATACAAATAAAAACAGTACACTGAAAATTTTAGTTTTCCCACAAAATTTAAATCACTTTGATGATGTTATAGAATTACATCACAATTAATATGTAATATTTCTTGAATATGCTGTTTTTTTTCTTTTGTAGATGGAAATTTCTTGTAACCAATCAACGTTTGAAATGCTTCCAGATGAGATGCTATTAGAAATTTGTAAATATTTATTATGTACTAATATTCTTCTATCTTTTACTGATCTTAACAATCGAATAACACAAATGATTAGTGAATATTATCATCATATTTCATTACATAAAACATCTATTTCAAAATGTAATTATTTATGTATAAATATTCTTCCACAAATTGGTTTTCAAATTCGATCATTACTTATTGATTGTTGTTATTCTATTTTACAAGATGATTTATTTATGAAATATTTTGATAAGAAAATGTCAATAATATTTCCTAAACTAGAACGAATAAGTCTTGTTTCCTATCAATATAATCAATTAATTACTTTTCTTAATACTCTATATGATTTAAATTATCTTGTTGAAATTCGTTTATATAGTCTTTTTCCAATTGACAAAAACAATCAAACAACAGTCATTCGATCATTAATTCAAGCAAATAATCATCGAATTACAACAATATTAATCGATGATCAATCAAGTTCTTTACATTTTCATCATGATGATTATTATTTAAATATCATTCGATTACGTATCAAATTAAGAACAATTATAGATTTATCATCTCTCTTTCATGCTATTCCAAATATTCAATATCTAGATATAATACTTGATGAAAATGATAGTTTATCAGAATATTTTGATCAATTGACTTTATCTCCTCTTTTTTATCTTACTCATTTTCAACTTATATCTACTAAGCAATCATGGACACTTGAAAAATTACGTCTATTATTTGATCAATTACCAATAGTAAGGCATCTATCACTTTTTCTTTCTACAGATGATAGATGTCTTATCGAAAATGACACAATTCTTTCTTACCTTCCTTCGACTGTTCAACAATTTGACTATGCTATTTATTTTTATCATAACATATCTTTTGATGAAATTAATGAGATTATTACTTCTTGGCCAACATCTCATCCAGTTACATGCTTCTACAAAGATACACTCTTATTTATTCATACATTACCTTGGCGTTTTACTCGTATTTCATTTCCAACATTTATCAATAAAATGATGTCATGCAAAACAAATAATATAACTGGCTATGAGAGTAGTGTTGAACAATTGGACGTTACGATCGATAAAAGTTTTACTTTAATCAAGTCTTTAGGAATGATATTACAATGTCGTCAATTAAGAGATATTACTATTTATGTGAGAGATACTGGTGACACCGTTAAAGGTATGTACTTTGAACAAAGAAACTGATGATATACAAATGCCTATTAAAATCTGTCAAATCTATGCAGAAAGAAAAAAATCATCATTCGAGTCGATAGAATTTTGTGAAACTCTCATAGTAACGGAGGTCAATGGTCATTAGATACGTATCCATAGCAGCCGAGGACTATATAGACGTCAGACTCTTCTAGAACATTCCAAAGTCTTTCTCGAAATTTGAATGGTTAGAATACGTTTGTGTATGTTCTAAATAGTCCAATTTTTGATTCTTGTGCAAATAAAAATTTATATTCAAGATGTCAATAATGATGTGTCGTAATGCATTGATTTGCCACTATTGTCATATGATCAACACAAAAAAAAAAGTGTGAACTAATCAAGTTCTAACTTTAGGAACTATTCAATATCAGTGTTTCTAAGCTTATCGAAATAAATGATAGTGTGTTGAGATCCGTTGTAGATATAATGGCAACAGAATAGAAAAACTAATGTTTCTCAATTATAGCCCATCGGTCCAAGAATTTCTGGACCCGATCGGATTCGGGTTCGGATAGGGCCTGATGGGCTCTAGTCTCAATTCTCCCTGTTTTATTACAAATTCATATATGTTAAACTTGAAAGTTGAATTCAGCTATTCAAGAATTCTATGAATATTCACTGAAGGAGGGAGGGTAAGCATTTTTCCTCGCCTAACTGACTTTTCATATCAGCGTCACAGCGTGGAAACGCTTCGCGACCCATCCGCGTCTCTGTGTACACAGTTATCGAAGTGTTTCATGTTTGGACTATGTTAGCTACATCGTTTTCGGAGCTGCTTGACCATGCAATCCATTCACTTACAGATGCTGCCTTGCCGTTATCACTCGAGCACCTCAGGCGCTTCCTGTATAATTCCAGGTAATGACTATAGCATCCCAAGCAATGGCTGTAGCATCCTAGGTAATGCTTGTAGGATTCGCATTCAAGGTAATACCTGTAGCATCACAGGTAATATCTCTAGTATCCCATGGGATAGTTGTAGCATTTCAGGAAGTATTGAAAGTTGAAATCTCAGTTGAATTCAAGTTGCAAGTTTTACACTATGTTACAAATTGATATCAATTCTCAATCTGAGACACAAATATTATCCTTCCCAATGTATTTAACTATTTTCAGAATAACAATGTTCAATATCTCATATTCCTAAATTATCTCGACTTATTCAAATTGCTTTTCATGGATCAATATCCTCTGATCTAAATCATTTTTCATTTCTTCTCAATGCTGCACCTAATATCTTTCGCTTGGATTTACCTTTTGATTATTTATGGCAATTAATTGAAAATGAACAAACACGTTATCTTCTTGGTCAACGTATTACTTCACTTTCTATCCTCGAAAATGTAACAAAACCATCATTAGTAACACTCAATGAAGAACACATACCTATCATTGCTTCTACATTCTTTCGATTGTGTGATTTGTATGTCAATCTAAGACATTTATCACCTAGCACAACAATAGTCTCAAACGACAATATTATTCTTCACAAATTTACAGAACAAAGCTTATCCATTCTGTCAGATCAACAGAAACATGAAGTTGTATCACCATGTTCAAGTGAATCAATGATTGTATGTTTGTTGACAGAATTCAAAGAACATAAACTAGTTGGTCTATGCATCACTGGACAATTCTTCGAAAAGATAAATACAGATGCAAAACAATGGTTACAACATAATACCGTTCTTTGTGAACAACAATTTGAAGCTATTTTTAATAAGATGTTACATCGATTACTCATTTGGATGTGATAATGTTTTGATTATATTTTTAAAAAAATAATAAATCTTTGTAGATATTTTTTTCACTTATACGTATGCAATAGATGTATATTGCGTTATTCTAGATATCCTAAAAAACTTAGTTCTATAGACCATTGATCCGCTAAGTTATTATTGAAAAAACTAACGTTATTGATGTGACATAAAAAAAGGATAAAAGTTTTCATTGTATGCATTTCCATTTACAAATACTCTAAATTTATAGAGAAAACTATAAAATCTCTACGCAAATGTTTTTCAAAAAACTGAATTTATTCGTTGTAAGTGATCTGAGCGAATACAAGAAAAAAAATAAAAAATTCTCGTGTAACTGAATGAAAAGTTCAAAAATTATTTTTGAATGGTCAAAATCCTTATTGACAATCTCAAGACAATACTAACACAAGAAGTCTCGTTCTAGAACATGAGCAGATCTTTGAAAAATCAATTTTTTTTTGGAAAGCAATTACTTGAAGTCTATTCGAGTTTAAAATTCAATGAATATTTTTCAACAATCAAAAATTACAAATACGTTCAACTTTAAATGTTTCAATCGATATAACAACTGTTATACAAAATATTAGTCAATTAGTATCAACGAGAAATATTTATGTGAATATAACAAATGAAAATCTTTATTATGATTGTTCAGAAGACTTTGCTTCTTATATAAGAAGTTTAATAAATATATTCGATTTAAATTCTTCTTCGTCATCTTGATTTTACTACATCGACTGTAGATGGGTAGTTAACAGTCTATGAAGAAGCACTAGTTAAGCATGTTTAGGACTAATTTATTTAGTTTTATGATGCTATTTTCTTGTATAATATTATTTTGTTGAAGATGAAATTTCGCCAGAGTTCAGCAAGTGATTTGAAAATCAAAGTATGAATTTCGTGATCCAGAAATTTTAAAACGAATTAATTGTGATGATATTTCAGCACATCCACAATGCATGTATGTACTGAGGACTATATGGGATTTATCTCAAAATGCATAGTGACTTATTGAAAAGTCTCGATAGCTACTGAAACAATCACGATGAACAACTCATGTACTGAAATAAAGTGTCTCTGGTCGGAATTCATTGCTTACATACGATGATCAAACTTATGACTAATGTCTGTCCAAAAACTTAATGGACTCGGATATTTTTAAAATAACTCAAGAATGGAAAGCACGAAACACCTGTGGTTTTCATCAATCGAAAGAAGAAACATTAGGACGTCTTTTTCTCCAATAATATATAAGATGAAATCAACCATTTTTATAAAACATGCAAAAAATGCACATAAATTATCTTTCGTTGAGATTAAATTTTGTGAAATATGATCTGAAAGGAATGTTAAGTATATAGGGTAGAAATTTGGACCCACCCCTCTCACAGATTGTAACAGACGTTTTTCATGCGTCATTACTGATTATATATCACTAAGCTCTCATGAAAATATATAAACTGCTTTCTTTTTTGAGTTCTAGAGGATAAGTAAAAGTCGATGAAAAATGAGTCCGTAGATAAATCGAACAAAACAATGTTCTAGTGATTAGCAACAACAGCTATATTGTATTTCACATTTTTTTTTTTACAAAAAATAAGAAAATTTGCTTAAAAATTCAGAGAAATCCATATTTTTTTGAGGGAGTAAATAAAGAATTTCATTTACTTAACATTAGAACATATGAAGATAATCATTCGAATTATATCTTAAACGATAGATCTGAAGTTCCTCTATCTAAATTACATATCAAAACCAAATTTTCATCAAAATAACTGACCATTTTCATACATTTTTTGTAGAAATGATTAATATTAAAATAATTTCATCTTATACAATATTGAAAAAAAAAGATTCTCCCCAGTATCGTCTCTTTCGACAGGTGAAAACTCCAGCTTCTTAGGTCTTTCTCTTCTTGAATTATTTCAAAAATATCCGAGTCCACTGACTTTCTGGACAGACAATAGTTATCATTTCTTTTCAGGATAAATATAATTCTGTCAGATTGGAACAAGTGATAATAATGACTACGGCTTAATTTTTCAATCAAAAGTCTTTTCATATTTTTTTTAAATAGGTTTCAGTGCATACATATGAATATATGAATAAGCAAATACTAGAATCAGCAGTGCGTCGTAACATGCAAAAACTATAATTAGTTTCAATATAAGGATAAATTGTATATTCAGCTTTGTTGCTGAGGAGTCAATGAAAAATTCATGAAATCCTATGACAAAAAAAAAATAAGAATGTAAATATGAAGATTATTACTAGAAATACTCTTACAATTAAAAATAGAGCACCAAGCACGAGCATTTTTGCCTTGACATCCATATTGATTGGAACTACACAATAATTAAGAATTAGTCAGTTACAAAAAAAAAGAATTTCTCGATTATTGAAAAGAGAATTTAGTAATTGCAATACAAAGTCTGACGAAATTGAAAAAAATATTGAATAGAATTTTTATACACAACGACGTTTCCTATTCATATAAAATGTTTTTGTATACATCAATATACTCACCATGCATTGAAAAAACATCACAACTTGTAAAAGCTTCTTTACAAAAGCCAGAATATTTTTTATAAATAGCTCCAATTTCTGTTGTTCGATCACTACCGAATAACTAGAAATAAAAAATTAAATTTTGAACTCAGAAATTATTCAAAATATTATATACAGTAAATTTATTCTCACAACAACATGAATAAGGTCCATCATAAATACAACATGGACCAATAATATTTAATATAGGTTGTTCACGAGCATCTTTAATTACATAATTCATTCGCCAACTACTACCTCTAAATGGAGAGACAAAAAAAAATAATCTATGAATAAGATTTACTGAATAATAAAAAACAAAAATTACTCTTGTTTAATTATTCCAGTAACATTGCCTGGTGGTGACAGCAGTGTCCAAGGACTGAGAAAGAGGAATTCTTCCAATTCCCTACAAACCATATAAAAATATACATAATTCCCAAAGAACTGAGAAATGACCCTCATGCACCCTACGCTTCCTTAATAATTCCTCCATTAATTCCTCCTAAGCAAAATAACAGCCGATGGAAATGACCTCATTTCTCAACCTTAATCCCTACACAATTCCTCATATCCAACAAAGGAATTCACCTCCTGACAATTCCTAACTCCAGGAAACGAGGAAATGTAGCGAACTGATCGATAATACTCCGAAAGGAACTGACATCACAATCACATACAACATAAGCAATCGTACGACAATTACGTTTCATACAAATAAAGCCTACTCATAATATAAAAAAATACCATAAACCAGAGGAATTTCCTCAATTCTAATGACAATTCCTCGGAAATGAGGTCGATACCTTCATGGAACCATCCTTCAATTCCTCGGGGAACTAGGGGAACTGGTATGTTAACCACATAATAAGAGCTATTTTTTCTGAAGAATTGCCGACGAATCGAGGAACTATGTTAATTATAATGACAGTTCCCAGGTAATGAGGTAGATACCTTCATCGAACCTACCTAGAACTGCTCGAGGAACCGGAGGAATTGATATACCGATCATATAATTGCATATATATTTTGGAAAAACCACCGAGGAACCGAGGAATTATGTCAGTTCT